AGGTGAAACCCATCACTGTGACCCCATAGTAGAGTTAGGTGAAACCCATCACTGTGACCCCATAGTAGAGTTAGGTGAAACCCATCACTGTGACCCCATAGTAGAGTTAGATGAAACCCATCACTGTAACCCCATAGTAGAGTTGGGTGAAACCCATCACTGTGACCCCATAGTAGAGTTAGGTAAAACTCATCACTGTGACCCCATAGTAGAGTTAGGTAAAACCCATCACTGTAACCCCATAGTAGAGTTAGGTGAAACCCATCACTGTGACCCCATAGTAGAGTTAGGTGAAACCCATCACTGTGACCCCATAGTAGAGTTAGGTGAAACCCATCACTGTGACCCCATAGTAGAGTTAGATGAAACCCATCACTGTGACCCCATAGTAGAGTTGGGTGAAACCCATCACTGTGACCCCATAGTAGAGTTAGGTAAAACTCATCACTGTGACCCCATAGTAGAGTTAGGTGAAACTCATCACTGTGACCCCATAGTAGAGTTAGGTGAAACCCATCACTGTGACCCCATAGTGACCCCATAGTAGAGTTTGGTAATACTCATGACCATGATCTCAAAGTTGAGTCTGGTATTTTGCTTATACAGGCATGTTTAATTTATTTTTATTTCATGTTGTCTTTTTAAGAATAACAAAACTTTTTCTTTCTTAACCAGAGAGACTACATTACATGCATTGAGAGGAGTGATTCGTGGAGCTGGTCACAAAATGGGAGATGCTATTAGGAAGACAGTCACCACAACTCTTATAGGAATGCTGGGACAAAATGAGGTAAGCATGTCTAAAAAGTCTTTATAGTCGTGCTCAAAATAAAATCTGTATTAGAAACTATGGCTCCTATTAATATGCTACAGTGCAACAGTGAGGCTGCTATTAGAGCAATCTATACATATGAGAAATGGTTAATTTTTGATTCTCAATTGTAAAAAAAAATGGGGTCAGGCCTCTATTAGTGATACAGCTTATAATACAGATTTATATGTGTGTATGCATTTATATTAACAACATTTGATTAGGAATGTTTTAGTTAAAGTGACACAGTGTACTAATAATATTTGTACATGCGGTTATGTTTAAACTTGGATTGCGACAGCTAATAAAGTCAATTTGTTGAAATGAAACAGTTGCTCCAAATACATCAAGAACCTCAGCACTCATCAATTGTTCAACGCAGACGTTTCCCTGTACAATAATTTTTTCTGTCAAATTATTTATTATGATAATCTTTTGTTTTTTGTAGGACGTCAGTCGTATGTGTGCAGCAGGATGTGTTGGATCGTTGTGTGCATGTTTACCTGAAGCTGAATTGCTATCATTACTTGACGATCATTTACTAAGTAAATAAACATGTTTTTATTTGTGTGTACTTTGATTTAACATTGTTGTGCATTAGGTGTTTTTTACTTGCTTTTACTTCTATGCTAGCTACAACAAGTTTACAGCTATCTGCATCGTTGTATTGTATTGGTTATTAGGAATCTTTTTGGTGGACCTCCTGTGATGTGTCTTTTAGCAAGGCAATTTAGTTCTGTGCACAAGCAGCATTCCTCGTAATCGTTGCAGTACAAGTGTACTTCCATTTATCATAATATTTAACTTGCTGTATATTCAAAGATATTTACTTACTTTATTTTCAGTAATAACAGAATTGAGCTCCCGCAGATTTGTTCTATTTGTGACAATACATGTACTTTGTGTTAATAGTGTGTGCGTATTGAAAACCTAATTAGCATACTAATTTCCATTTTTCGCTTGTTTATGATTTTCTGAATTTTTTGGTTTTTAGCCCATGTCGGCTCTGTATTAATTTGGGTCGTGTCTGTGCATCCGTGTGTGCACATTTTCATGTTACCAGCTTTTTCTCACACATGTGTGATCCAATTCAGTTCAGAGTTGGTTCAGATTTTTAACATTTTTCCTTCAAAACTGCTGGAAAATCCGACTTTTCCCGAAATTACCCGAGTTTAATCTGAGTTTTGATGACGCATACGCAGTTCTCGTCTCGGTGGAAATCACAGTCATTTTTGTGTGAGGATATTGTATGCCGGAATTGTATCTTTATTTGCGCAACGCTTATATGGACAAAATTGTGTCTCGTCAATTTCAAAGGTAAGAAACTGTGCTTGTTATGTTATTTATACACTTTGAATTATCGTTTGTGTCTCGGGTTTAGTGATCGTGAGAAACTATCGCTAACCTGGCGAGAGTTTCGTCAGAAAAACTTCCTTTTTGACTCCTGTGTGCGAAGCACAAAAAGGGAGTCTTTGCAGTTAGTGTGTCTGTATGTGTGTATGTGTGTCCGTCTGTTCCACTGATATCTCAAGAACCATACATCAGTTTTTGATGAAACTTGGTGCATAGATGCTCTGGGCCAATGCGCAGATTTGATTAGGTTTTGGTAAAAATCCATGCATATTAATTACCTAATTTGCATGATAATTAGCTGATTTTTGGCTGTTTCATGACTGTTCCACTGATATCTAAAGAACCACTCATTGGATTTTGATGAAACTTGGCACACAGATGCTCCAAACTAATGCGCAGATTTGATTAGTTTTGGGTAAAAATCTGTGCAATATTAATT